AATTTCTTCATCTTTCTCACGAAATCATCTGGTGGCGAAACGGAGTTCGTCGGGTTTGCCAGTCTTCTAATAATATTTACATGATCCCAATAGTTAAATTATATTACCCAACTGAATTGATTATGTATGTATATATTAGCTTATTTATCAGAAAGTTCATCGTAACGAATTGTAGAGAGCGCTTGAATAATTTATACATATTGATGACGTTACTGGGATATACTCGTATGTACGATATTCATGAGAGTTCTTGGTATTGTACGTTGATGTAGGTAAATACGACGCACAATTGCGGTACATTTGGGTTTATCTGCCAAAATGGCATTGTGTTAAAGTTTTATCTATAGGTACAGTGTGTTGTAATGTACCAGCAGTCCTTTAGCTGTACCTTTTCGCGACCTCCACATGTAACACCTATATGCTTCAAGCTTATAGTATCACAGAATCATGTCATGATTCATAATGTAACGAATTATAAATAAGAGATCGAGGATATATGTTGAATATTTACAGAGTATGTATGAAGATACATATTTTAATATTCTATAAAAGCATGGCATATTTGCGAAATACAGTTCAACTCGAAACAATTTTACTTTTGCCATAATTAGTACCTTATAAGGTACTGATAATCGTTTGCTTTTGACAAATTAATAAATAATAATAAAAGTAAATCAACATTTTGCTAAATGTCCTTAACTGGACAGTTGTAAATATAGTAGTAAATAAAAAAAATCTGTTTTTGATATTTTCTCAATTTAATATATATATTCACATTTTTTCATGTAAATAACATGCTTCAATATGGCTATTTCTCTTAACATTAATATAAACTACAACATAACGAGCCTTTCTGATTTTTTCACTATGAGTTTACATTTTACCGCATAACAACGTAATCATAATCACTCATCATTCTAAAGTAATAAGAGTTTTTATAAATCGGTCGTTATTTTTCAGTTTAATCTTGCGAAAAGCTCTAAGGCGCCGCATAAAGTTTCATTTATTATAAAGATACAATGCAGCTTTCATAACCGCGTTGCATGCGAGCAATAATATTTTTTAAAAGTTTTATAATACGTATATTTAATTGAATCTGAGAAAGTTTTATAGGACTAGGATTTGCGCTTCATAATTTTTTTTAAATTTAACAAGGTTAAAAAATTGAAGAAGTTTGTTTTGTGATCTTACGCATGAACAGCTAATACCCTTTAATCTACGCTTCATTAATTTGCATATTTAATATAAATCGAATGGAGTACGAAGGCTGTATAATCTCTTTATAATATTGTGGTTTAACCGTATTGATTTTATTGTAAACCATTGATATGAGAACTATTAGCCACACGAATCGCACGCAATAATTCCAGTTCAATATACCGTGTTTCTGATTGTATTCCTGGGAAATAGTGATATTGCTCTATGTTATGGCATGATAATAGAGCAATAAATGGAAGATGTACAACGAATGATAACCATTATTGCTAAATGATGGACATAAATATTTGGTTTTAAATATAATAAATATACACAGAACATAATTAATAATAATAACTAGAAAATGTAGTAATTATATCATCTTATTAACTAAGCATCACAGCTTATTTCATTTCAAGTAATCTGTTTACTCCAATTATAACTTGCGAAGCACAAACATATAAATCCGCACTTAGTTCTCTTATTAGCTAATTATATGAGAGCGACGGTTTCAAATACCTTTTATGCAATGAATAATTTTCAAACGAGAATAACTTTGCACGGCAAATTCATAAAATTGATTAATTAAAATTCGACGTGGTGGTTCTGTAGCATAGTACATATATTGATATTTTGAGTGACGCGGTTGCACTAAAGCTTCATAAACGAGCATACATTATGAATCCATATATGTGCATGCATAATAACTTAGTTCTGTGTAAATAGCATATCGCTTGTATAAATAGGAATATATGTATATATCATTATCTATACAATGTTGCTTTAGAATTAAACAGCTAACGCGAGCAGCCAGATTTTCTATGACTCTCCTAAGTTTTCGGATATCAAGGATGTAGAATGCCACATTACATACTGGGTAGAATTTGATACAAAGAAAAAACATCCCTGAGTACATTATACTGGTTTATTACAGAACAATCATGTTCCTAAAATAAAAAGAAGGGTGCGCGTAAGTAAAACTTATTTGCTACTGTACAAGATGGCATTTAAGTAAAAAATAAATACATCATATAACAATTTTGAATAATGTTTCTTAGTAATACGGTAACACTCGTGATGCACCATTTATTAGTATCAATTTATACACATTTATGTAATGTGTGTAAGTATGGCTTTATACTTCAAATATGACATGATCGGTTTGTCATTGTAATTATCATTTAGAAATGAACCATTATTAGAGAAATGAAGTAATTGCTGATTAATAACTTCTATAATATTCGCTTACACGGTGGATTATGTTAAACAACGCTTAAACAAATTTGTTTTCACAATTTCACTCATCATCATATAATATTTGTGTTTGAAGAACTTCATGTAATTAAAATTAACAAACATTCATTGACTGCTTATATGTTTTTTTTACTTTTTCGCTGGCGATATAATCTCATTCTTCGAACAGCTGTAATATCTATCTTGCCTAAAAAATATTTTCCATTTTAATGGCTTCAAAGAATTATAGAAACTACGAATAATATAGAAATAATTTCTAATCTATAAACTTATGTTTAGAACAAATGTTTAATTTGTTTTACTATTTTCAAGGAACAGGGTAAATATTCTTCTGATTCAGGCACTTTTCATTAAATCAAGATTTGTACTACGATGTAATTTCGAAATGTTTATCTATCTATGTCGATTTCCTTGTTTATATCGGTACGTATACAACGACAGATCTTTATTCACATACGCGACGACTAATCACAATCGACCCGTATAGAAATGATATCATCAAGAGCGAATGACGAATCATTGGCACTCGGCTCTTATCTTATATGCCGTAACGCACTTCCGTTGCATTTTTACACTTTAGTTGCCCCTAAAGAAGTTTTACTTCAATATATTTGCTAATTTTTATGTTTTGGACGGGCTACTTGCATTACTTGTTATCTTCCCGAATAACTCTGCATTTGCTGAAATGCTCGAGCCATCGATTCTCTGTGGTATTGTCCAATTTTACTCGAAAACTTGTTACAGTGACTTGTTACTGCCATATGTTAAGCGATTACATTTTCCTCTGACTGTGCGATTTTCCTATTCCGTTCAGTCCAGCTTCCCCATCGGTTCGATCCAGTACACAACACAGCATACTAATGCAATTTGTCTATTTTAATCACACAAGCTGAACGCGAACTTGCCGAACCCGAGATACTTGCGGTATATGTGTTTCTTGATGTTCGACCTTAATCAGATTGAATTCTTATTGACCGAACCCCCTCGGACGGGGAGCTATCAGATCTTTCTCAAATGGCTCGAATCGAATCGTTCGGCTCACTAATGGCGAAAATGCTCAATCAGGTCTGTTTCTGTATGTGACAGGTCCCCGGAATAGATATGATGTACCGCTCATCTCTTAACCCTACGAGATATGCTAAGATATCTTCTTATTTGACATGACGACGTTATTGCACGCTGGGGATGAGGCGAGATGCCTCTCGGATATCAATCGATTCGTGCATGATAGGTACATGATATGTAATAAACAAGGTAATAGGCAGATACATGTAATAGGCAGATACATGAAATTTACACGTGTTTTTTATATAGTAACTAGCAAACCCGACGAACTCCGTTTCGCCACCAGATGGTTTCGGGAGAAAGATGAAGAATTTTTTTGTTTGTTTTATATTTGAAAAGGAAAAATTTGATCAGGAGAGAAAACCCGACTTATTTTATATATATAGAAGATAATCTTTTTGCAATTATTTAAAACAATTGCAATTATTGATCATTTTTATTACTCGAATTTTCAATTGCGGTGCGTGAAGTTCCAGCAATAATCAGGGGGCACGATGCCTTGCACCACTAATTTTCTTAGCTATAAACCTTGCGGAGCGCGAGACCTTTCCAACGAATGCAAAATTGTCGAAATCGGTTCTGGAGTTATTTCGTCAGGAAGGAAAACCCGACTTATTTATATATATATATAAAAGATATTCTATGATACTCTACAGCTAATCTAAATTTTTTAATTTGATCTATATGTTAACCATTACCTCTCGCGAATTCCGAGATTTATATGAATTTTCGGAATCCGAGTGGAAAGGGTTCATTCTTAACCATACATAATTTTTAACTTATTATAAATTTGTATTACTAGACTTAGTATGTCATAAGTATAGTTGCATTTTAAGTGTGATGCTTATACATAATTAATTCGAGTATTCTATATCAATTTGCATTTTCGTTCTCTACATCCCGATGCCTTAATTAGTTTTCTGCTTAACGAACTTAGTTTTCGCACTTGCATGGTATTAAGAAAGTTTACGAATCCAATTAACAGTCTCTTTAAATAATTTTTAGCGAATTTTTCGAAACAACAATCACCAACTTCTAATAATATTAAAAGCAATTTTTTTGTGTCTTAGATCGACTCTAATTAATTTTATTTAAAATAAACATTTAAGTAATCAGGTACTGAGTATTATAGTAAAAATGATAATATATGCATTAAAGATAATAATGTATTCATTAATTTATTTATAGTAAGATCTGATTTATGCATGATTATATCTTCCTTCCTTGAATTCATTACAAACACAGTTAAAGTAATTATACTCCTCTATTTCATTGTTTTAAATATTCATATGATCACGGACGACTTTATTTTACAAATGTATAAAAAGTTTCCTGAGTTTCACATATTGTTCAAAATATTATAGAGACAATACATAGGACACGGTTTTATGTGTATTGTTTTAAACGTGTTGTGAAGGTTAGAGTTCACGACGTGTCGTGAGAGCAACGACCAAGGCGCCTCATTCAGGTATGCTTTGCCATCGGTTTTCCTCCTGAGTTTGGAGTCTTACAATTAGATCATCACTTTACTAAAACTTGCATTCGAAGCATAGGTTATGTAGATTATGGACGATATTCTGAAATACAATGTATTAAGGTACATTGCGCCAATATTTTTTATTCTCATATATTTACAAACTTTCTAGTTATAGGGGTCGTTTAATAACCACGCGAGGTTTTTAGAGTGTGGGGGGTTTGACAAAATGGGGACGTGGTTGAGAGAGGGGTATAGTAAGATATCACGTGTATTTATATTTCACCTGTTTTTTTAAATCCAAACATTTAAAAAATAATAAAAAACCTCACATATTTTTCTCGTAAATAAAAATACCCGTGATATTTGGTAGGGAAGGGCGGGGTAATTTTGGATATCACCACGTATCAACAAGGGGGAGGGGTGTCCAAAAATCCTTAAAAAAATCATCACGTGATTAATAGACATCTTCTACGTACCATAGCAACATGTTAAAATTTCTTTAGCTTTTAGACAATGTTTGATATATATTGATAAAAATTACTGAATGATTTGATGTGTTTTCTGATTATTTCTCGGTGATATTCAATGTTTTGTAATATTTCCCTTGAAAAAAGTTTGAATTCGAATACAGACAATTTCATTGGTTTTTCTGAATATCTCTATATTTTATTCTGAATGTCTGATCTGAGTTCTGAAGTTGATTCGAATGTCTGTTCTGAAAATCTGAGCATTGATCAAAATCTGAATATGATATCGTTAAAAGAATTGATGATTTTCAATTGTAAGCAATAGATACCTTAAATATTCAATCAAAAAATAATCATAAATATTTCATTATATTTTCTTTACTCATAATTCACCTTTTTATCCAAATCAGAATTTTTTTGCCTCGATGATGCATCATGACCAAAACCTGACACTTCCCTTATTTTATTGAATGAGTTAAATTAATTAATTCATTATTAATTGATTCACTTACTATCTTGGTCTGAAATTAAAAAAAAGTTCAATATTATTATTTTACCCAGTACAGATTTAAAGTTTTATAACATCTGTTAGCCAGTCAAGCGTTCTGTAATTAATCTTGTTTCATCTGATAAAGCATTTCACAGAATTCTATTACTGAATAATCATACGCCTTTAATCTGACTAAGACGTCTTATTTAAAGAAATAATAAATAGGATAATATTCTTATGAATGCTTTCGTTATAGGATTTATATAGATACACACGATATTATGCGAAATGGATTAAACTTATTTTATTAGGTTGGGGATCGTTCAAGTATTACATAAGCAGATTTATTACAATTATTTACCCCCCCCCCATCCCCCTTGTCAGCAAAAGTGAGCAAGGCTCTACCCCATGCTTACGTAAACATTTTGCAATTAATATAAAAAATAAAAATACTACCTATGACGTAATCATCATCCAGACTCCCCTGCCCCCCATGTCAACCCAAAATAAGCAAATCAACAACCCCCGGCCCCCCTATAGTGCTTACGTAATACTTGAACGGCCCCTTTGCAATGTAGACCATTTTTATTATTGTATAGTAATTTTTACACTTATCCAACAAGTGAAACTGTAGAAAATAAAGACCAATAATACGAAATGTTCTGACCATTGGAAGAGATTTTGAAAATTGGCATATCTTAATGTACATAATTTTTTTTTTTATAATTTTGCCCTGGTAGTGTTGTAGCGTAGGGTCTCTGGCAAGTGCGATTTGATGATCCTCGGGGTGGCTTTTGTAATTGCCTGAATGTGTTCGTATTTATCTAGACAAATTTAACCGTATAGAAACTTTATACTAATATTTAAATTAAGAAAATTATGTACATCTGGTGCACACAGTGCAAATACAATAAACTTAAAATGGTTGTGTGATAATTATAATATATTATAGGAAATGTTTATTTTCTATGTCTTTTACCTGACCCATATTTACCTAATTGATATTCTTCTTCCTCCACTAACCCGATCTCTCTGTTTTCGCAGATGGCGCCCCTCGGCCAAGAAACTATGGGATAACAAGGCGGCTGGCGATTGCAAGCCGCCGCTGCCGCCTTTGCACCTGCCCGCACCGCACGAACAACTCTGGAGGGACAGCACGTGGTCCACACAAGGTGAGTTTTGACACCGATGTTAACTTTTAATTGATCTTGCGCAAATTTACGGTCTAATGAAATTGAGACTGGCAGATGTTGCGGGAAGCCACGATGTAAAGGATTTTGTATCCGCTGTTGAACCAATGCATTTATTAGTTAATTGAATTTTTATCTTCTAATTAAGAATAAAAGTTGAACATAATTTTTGTGCTTAATTTTTACAAATGAGTTAGAGAGTTATTATCGTAGTGTTGGGTTTTTAATGTCTTATACTTGCTCACTACTTTAAACTGCTATACGTTCGAAATTGCTGTTACAATGTTTACCCGCGTTGAAATAAAATTATTAAAGTTTGTGTAATTCTGACTGTTTAATGAATCACATTTTTTTCAACTATTTGAAAGTTAATTCGAAATCCAGATGCGCTTCATTAAACGTGCTATTGCGCAATGTAATGTCGAATTACGTTATCTGCATTGAAAATGTATAAGAATTGATTCTCTATAGTCGTGTTATAAATGCCTCTTCTATATATAGCTCGTAATATTGTTTATTGATTTTTCAGTTACAACCGTACTCTCTGTAATCGCTTTGCCTTCAATGTTTGTAGTATTTTGTATAGGTATTTTATATCATACAATTGTGAAATATTTATCACTGATATCCCGTTCAGCTCGAAGAATTTTAAAGAATCGATACCTCGTTTTGCTTGAAATGTCTTTGGAATATCCAATTAGTTACGATTGGAAAATTACCAAGAAATATTGTCGTACCTACAACTTTAATGACAGTGTAATCAGATTATATAATAATAATTTTTCCTGATAATAAAATTGTACTCATTATTGATTACTTAGCTATATACAACATCATAAACATAATTTTTGCTCGTTGTGTAATAATTCTCGATTTGTTTTTCATCTTTACTATATAAAAAACAAATGAATCGGCAAAAAACGACGGTATTTATTTCTATTATATTATCGTTCTGGATGAGTTTATAAATTGTTTTGATGTAAAAATATTCAATGATGATTTAGATGGAATCAAATCATTTTCTTTTTCTCTGACATCATGTTTCTTTATTATCTAATGAAAAGCAAAACACAACCACGAACGAGCGGTCTCAAAGTTGCTCGGTTCTGCATTTGTGAACTGTTTGTGGCTCTTATCTCCGACTTCTTTAAAAGTCTTTGTATGGGTTTAACCTTCAACTTATCACAGACATTAATTTAACCATCTGTTCGTGGTGAACGTAAAATAGTATTTATGTACTAGTTATAGTTTTTGCTACGATTTTTTCTCTGGATTTATTATCAACCTGATAAACCGTGGTTTTGGCAAATGAAATTGTGTAGAATTAATCATCATGATTTATGTTGCCATGTGTTTGTTTAATAACAATATAATTATTATTATGTTGATGGTCATTAATTAATAGTAATAAATGGTAAGGTGAATAATAACAAGGAGGGTAAGAAAATCATTGATTTTGTGGTGCTCTCATACCAAGGACCTGCCTTCGTGCTGACTACTATTTATTATCATGATTGCAATTTCATTTTGGTTAATTTATATTATTAATAAATTATACACTTGCTAATTTTAAATATGCATTTAATTTCAAATAAAATGTGCATGTGCAATGTGCATTGCAAGTGCAAATGTGTATCTTAAAACTCTTAAAATTAAATTGTAAAAATTGTCTAACCTTCAATTCCGTCATTCACTATAATTCGTGTTATAAATTACTTTTATGAAATATCACATATTTCCACAGTTCTAACAGTACAAATTGTACCTAATTAATTTACAATTTGCTATTAATTGCAATCAGAAAAAAGTTCACAAATGAGCTTCTGTCTGAACTTTAATAAAAGTCGTTTATTATTACTGGCTAAAAAAATTTCATTAATCGCAAGTAACTTATCCCCAAATGACGCAATTTATTTTCAAATTATTGCTGACGTTGATTCATCCAGACTTTTAAAATCCCTACTTAAAGATTCCTTACTTGTTCAAAAATATTATAAATATAATTAGGTATGCAGAATGCGTAACACAAATTATTTTGTAATATATTTTCCTAATTTATTTTTTCCATTTCAAGATATTCAAATTATGTTTTGCAACAACTCAATATTGATTGATTGTTTTTACAAATACTTTGTTTTTTATAATAATTATCTAAATTAATTTAATCAATGTTTTATCCATTTGGTTACAAGTTGATTGAAGCTTCAAGTTTCCTTGGTGTTTTTGCATTTTGTTTGCAGAAGTTTTTGTCGAGAGATGAATAAATTGTATTTATCTTCTTCGTTCTTGAAACGAATGGAATTTTCCAAAGAGCATTGTTGATACATAAAACGAAATATTTACTGGAAGAATATTTTTTTTGTAAATGCTGAACTTATTAATAAATAGAAATAATCGTCATTTCAGTTTCAAAAATACAACATTAATGGAGTTAACTCACCCTTAATAGACATTTTGCAATATTTCACTTATATATTATACTTCAGTTGTAATTTTTCATTTTTTTCTTTTTGAATTATTATTATTATTATTATTATTATTTATACATGCTATTATAAATTATCCTTTTGCTTCCATTTACATCAAACTTACATACATATATATTCATAAATTAGAAAACTTACCAATGGGTAGCTCTCTAAAAACATTATAGTCTTGTAAAGTCTCAGAATAATTACTGAATGTCTTTTAATCATAAGACTGATTGTAATTTAAATATGAGTAAAAAAAAATTAAATTATAATTATTAACAATTTAGGGCTCTATTTAATTTAAATTAAATATAAAATGTGTACATGATGATCATAAGAACAATAAAGTTCTCCATGGATGTATCGTTTTGATATTTCCAAGAATTTGACTCGCAAAGGAATATGAATTTGTCAAGGTTGCCAAATGGATACAAAAAACTAAATTTGCATAGAGACACAATAATTAACTCTCTCATGTTTAATATTGCACCAAAAGCGTTTTTAAACATTGATTTATATACCTTAAATTTATCTACTTATGATTATAAGTCGTCAGTCTATGGATGATATTTTAGCAATTAAACAGCAAATTGTTTTGGTCTATGAAATTCACTGAAGTAGTATTAGATTTTAGAAAAATAAAATAAAAAAATGAATTTTTTCTAAAATATTTTATTTTAGAAAAATAATTCATACGAACCATTTGCACGAAATTAAATATATTTGAAATATAACAAAATTATTTAGATTAATTGCTTATATTTCTACAATAAAAATCATAGTTTTTTCGGTTGCTTTTGACTTCATTTTAGTATTACCTCTATCTCTCAGTGGGTTGTGCATGACGATGCATCTTCCTGCAAGTTTTACCAATACGACACAACGCCTTCACATCTTTCTCATAACTTTCTTAAACGCAATACTACAGTCAGAAAATAACTTACATGAACTTTGTTATTTTGCAGAAGTGTCACAAGCTATGATGTCTTCTCGTCGTGCATTTCCTGCTCAGATCGGCAGCAGTGGCGCTGACAATGCTTCCATATTGTCACCACGCGATTCAACGAGCGGTCTAGGTGTAAAAATGGTGGAATATGTATTAGGTGGATCCCCTACGGCTAAAGAGAGCCCAGCTGGTAACAACGATGTCAAACAAGAAGCACAAGGGCAAAATCAGACACAAAATTCGAGCGCTAATAATAAGGACAACAAGGGTGGCAGCCCATTTGACGTCAATGGCAAAAAGGAAGATTGTTGCCTGCAGCAAAATGGACAAGTCAACGGAGTTGATGATGATAAAGGATTCAAGTAAGTTATAAAATAAGTGTATAATTTTTAATTCTTGAATTTTCGGGATGTGTTATTTCAATGGTTGTTTCATTTTTAGTGATTTTAATGATTCCATTTTGACACGGATTGTAATCAAAAAAATTGTTAGTTTTAAGTAACTTGATTTCTGCTCCTTTTGCTTCCAATTTGATGTATTTTATTTCCTTCGATTGCTGAACGTCACTTCCGGCTCGAAGGACCAATGTTTTTTTTGGATGGTTGTTGTGATTGATTGCTTTGCTTTTTGAAGGACCAATTATAAAATACTTTAATTTGTAATTAGTAATATTTATTTTATATTAATCACATAAATTACATCGTATTTATAATAATTTCAATATTGTTTTTGATAACGTATTGATTGATTTGATTTTTGTATGATTATCGATTGATGATTTTTTGTTTATATATCAATATAACCGCATGCTTTGATTGGCGCGAACAGGATGACATGAAGTTTTCTCTGTTTTCCAAGCATTCCTCATCATTCAAATATTCTATGATTCTCTATGATTTTAAGAACAAATATGTATATTATTAAATATTTCATGATCACTTGATTCTCTAGGTCATTAATGCTATAATTGCCAAGTACAAAAAAGACTGTACATAAATTAGCGCAATGACCATGATCGATATCGTTAATGATGGATCCCAGGCCATCATGATTAGCACTGGGAGAACATAATTATACGTTGCCATTTCGCATTATGAGACGCCGTTTATCTTTGATAAATATAGCGTAATCCGTATTATAATCAAATCGAGTCATCTTTCTAAAATATGATTTATGTTTTCTCTAAGTTAGAGACCAGCATTTCATCTGTCCTATCGCGTACGGTCATAGTGACATTGACATGATGACATTTCAATTCGCGTGCGTACCCACACTCTCTTTCATTAAATCTATTATGTGTTGATAAATGCCAATTAGCACGCGGTATAATTTTCTGAACGGCAGGTGCTATCATTACCCTGTTTAGGAAATTCATTGTTTACGCCTACACTCGTCTTTGAATATAAGTATTTTTAGGCAAAAAATGCTCGAAGATGTAGGAAATATTCTTTTTACGTAAAGGGTTTTTTAAGGAAATAATTTATGATGAAATTAAAATTAACCTTTTTATTTTCGTTCTGGATCAGCCAGAAATTTGCTGTCTTATTTATAGAGTTTTACATTTATCAAAGTTGAATTTTAATATGATTTTCGTGAAATCTGGAACTTACTAAATTCTGTCAGAACTACTAATATATATTTTTACAAGAATTCTCTATATAATAAATAACACTTGCGGTTTAAATCAAAACAATTTGCACAAAATTGTAAATTTGATTTACACATCAGTCGTTAATTGTTGACTGTAGCTTACATGTGCGTACGCAACTTTTATTTTCAACATTTTCCCATGCGTACATTTTGGATGTCATTGTTTTGTTGCTTTTAGCTTCTACTACCATAAACATTACGAAATTTTTAAATTACCTTGAAAATCCATCTGTGTGCTTCTACACAAACGCTTTTTACTCTCAGGAATTAAATAATTGGTTTATGTGTGTTAGAGAACACTAGGTGTAGTTGCCCAAGACGCATTCGGAGACATTCACCTTGTGCTTTGGCAGCAGTCTTGGAACGTGACGTTTTACAACGGCTTGATTGCGAAATTTTACTGTCGCCGCATCATTTTGTGATCACAGCTATATTACTATGGCTGTGGATCCATGATCTAGCGTTTTGTTATTGATGGATTTCTGCAAAATTGTAAAATTCTTGCATCATCTATATTTTTATCACATCAGCTTATGATTTATACCAGCGTTGCTCAAACTTAGTTCGAACACTACACTTTTGAAGATCAAAATTTTTGTAGCGCCCTTCTACCAAATTTTTTATACCTATATAATCTCTAAAAAAAAACTTTTTTTTAAATTTTAATAATATAGTTAGTGTGTGCTAAATTAGTTGATTTAGCCTTACATTCTAAATTAAAAATTTTTACCATTGAAATGCAAATAAAACGCTACTTAAAATAGTGTATACATGTATCAAAATTTAGTTAGGGGTCTGTTATCGTCTTTCTTTATATTACAATCGCCTACTTTGAGAAAGGCTGGTTTATATGTGTACTTTTGTTTAAAGAGCACGTACGAACCTCACAGAACCTGAAGTTATTGATTTATCATTAATAAGAAACATGTCAAAAATTTTTTGCGATTGAAAAAAAGCCTGACATTTTTTCCAATTACATTTCTGAAAAAATATATCTGTTTTGGGTATGAGTCAGTGACACTGAAAGTGATTATACCAAATTGTTCACTATTTGACCATTCGGTTCGAATGGGCCAAAAATATGTTGTTAAGATGGATTGCAAAAATGTATAAGAAGTCTGTGATCCACCAAGATGCTGTCGAACTCTATTAAAACACTTGCACTTTGTTTATATTGTCGAAGGACCAGGTATATTTAGTTAGTGGCTATATCAGACCGATTGAAAATAATAAAAAATAAGATGATAAATAAATGTTTAATTTTTGTATATTTAAATGGAACGATTTATAGACTTATAGATGATATGTTTATTAGATGAGATTTAGATATTACTCTTTTGAGTGTTGATTTAAGACTGCTGTTAGTTATATATGAAATTTTAGTTAATACTAAATTATAAAGATTTTACAATTTTATACATGGAAATCAATCGGGAACAGGTGATTAAGATTCTTAGAAAAATGAATTAATGGTATGATGATAAATTTAGGGACAGGATGCATTACAATGAAAGGGATTATTTAATAGTTCTGAATTACATAATAAGGGATGAGGATTTATTATTGCTATCCTGTATGGAGGTAATAAAATATATAATTTGACCAGGGTTGAGTAAGGCGTTAACACAAATTAAGGGGCCAATTCTTGGATAAAATGGATATGTGTTATGGTATTGCTATCTTATGGGTCTATATTTGTATGAGTTGGTAGTCACAAACTGTCAAAAAGCTATGTATTTACTGTGCGATCACAAGTTTTACACATTAAACCCAACCTACGAAATGTACAAACGCCAAATAACAATTTCATTAAGGATTTGATAACACATACTTGAAGTTAGATTTTATGTGTGAAACACGTGATTGCATAGCAAATACAAAGCTTTTCGAATGTTCGTCACTATCAACTCATACGAATATAGATCCAATGAACATCCTATTCCATTCCTGAATTGGTCACTATATCTCATTAATTGTTGAATTACATTATAGCATTTAGAATTCCATTTTTTTATGATTTAATAATTTTAATCAGCAGAAATGTAGAATGATTTAATACCGATGTACGGCTGTTGCACAATGCTGAACGTTTTCACCTAGCTTACCCTGCTGGAACTTGTACGAGAGCGCATTATATAAATCGCGAAATAAAAATGTGTGGTGCATTGTTGTATATTTTATTGTATGCCACAAGCGAACCGTGAGTCTCGTCGTCTTGTGAGTTGTTTTTTCGCCCATTCGTGCTGTGGCTTCGATGTCCGGCGGATTTGAACAATAGGGATGGTAAAATATTTGCAGAAGGTTGTTATCAATATGTTCCATCTATTTGGATTGCTAATGTACATATAAACAAGGTCCACGCTTAAGTTTCCACACACGGTGCAGATTTTCTCAGTTGTGTTTTTTGTGTTTACTGGACATATCTCCTCATTTTGATGTAATGAATTCTTTTTTTAATGTCGACGATGCCAATGAATATTTTCCCATCACTACTGTGCGAAATGTACCGCGTCTGTGATGAATCGGGACAGCACCGCCGCTGCGCATCGCTGCCGAACGTTGCAGTTTTTCTCTCGAATGATCGCGCTTTATTAGTCATGTCCCAAGTTGAGTTATCACTATTTTTGATAAAATATCTTTTATACTTATTGAAAATTTCTGAAGCCAATGAGCACGAAACACTTGCATTTCAATACGAAATCGAAATCCAATTATAATTAATATAAGTTATATCAAGACCTTAAGGAGCACAACTAGTGTAACCGCCTAGAAAAAGGTGATTTTTGGGAATTTATATTAAAAAAAAAACTATCAATTATTTCAAAATTTTAAGAATATATTTACACATGTTTTAAGAATACATAATAAAATTTTTGAAGAAAAAAATTCAATATTTTTTAAGTTATTGTCAATTTCCAACGGCGCTAAAAAAGGCTCTTCACTGCTGCAGTGATTCCGGCCTTCTGATGGATGAAATCTAACAAAAAATTCTCGTTAAACTAGATAAAAACTTAAACGATAAAAAAAATCAAAAATTGTCAAAATGGCGACGTTTTAAAAAAAAAGTCGAATTTTACCCAGTATTTTGGTCGTTTTTGGACTGCCAAAATTCGATTTTTGATACGATCAAAAAATCGCTAGTTCATTTTACGGAGAACTATATATAGAACATGTAAAAAAAAATTGATAGTGATCGGATCATTTGTTTTTGAGTAATCACTGCAGCAAATTCGGAAAATGCTGTTTCGAGAAAAACGCATTTAAAGATGAAATGATAGTTACACTATATACTATATATATGCTCTTTAAATGGCTGTGACTCAAAAACTATTTAAGATATCGATTTAAAATTTTAGTATGTTATTTTTAAAGGTATAACCTATCGAAATATGGAAAAATTGAAAATTCGATTTTTTGAAAATTTCACACTAGGTGTGCCCCTTAATCGCCATGTCAGCCATATATGCCTAATGTTAAGTTGTAATATTGGAGAAATGTTCTAGGAAATTGACAAAAAAAATTTTCTTTGATACATCAAGTTTCTTCGATACATTTTTAACAACTATCTAAGTTACAGTCCATGTGAAAATTTCTCTGATTTGTCGTGACGATTATTATTATTTCTATGCTTTTCTTCATAAATCAACAAATCATTTTATCTTTCATAAAACTGGTTCTATATAATCATATACCTAACATATATTTATAACTC